TGGGTCCCTAAAACCCACAATCTGATAGATAAGCTCTTCTTGAAGCGGCTTATTGTCTGCGACCGTATTGATGATAATCTCAGACCACGAGCCGTCGGAAAAGCCACTCTTTAATAGACAAAACATATAACTAATTAATAAATCATCAAAAAATGGGATTAATTGGTGACAAACTTCGCGGTATCTCTTATAGAGAAGATATCTAAGTTGTCTAACATTTCGTTGGGCAACGATGTGAGGACAGGCGGTCTCATCGACGCCGTGCTGTTTAAGCAGACGAGTGACCAGTTTTTCCAGCGCTTTGGGCTCGAGTTTGTCTCTGCGGGCGCCGGGAATGCGGTCGGCAAACGGGTCGCCGACACTCCGGTCGGCAAAACATTTGTCCAAAAACTTTATGAATTCAAAGCCGTGTGTCTTCTCGTGGCCGCGGATGTAGTCGTCCACTACTGTTAGCTTATCCTAAAATACATACAACAAAGTGATCAGCAATTAGTGAATCCATGTCTGTGTCCGCACACCTGCAGCAGAAGCGGAACCAACAGGTCTTTGATATCGAAGTGATCTCTCAGTTCACACTTAATGACCAGAAGCGAGGCCTCGAAGAACTTATTGTCGGCCAACAGGTGTTGTATAATATCGAGCAGATCCGTCACTTCGAGTGTCGTTATGTGGTAGACATCGGCGATGATGTCGAGCCACGTCTTGTTATTCCTCTTCAGCGCGAAACTCAGCGCCCGTTTGCGTACGCTTTTGGTCAGGAGTTGAGCCGCCAGTTGGGAACCGTTGGGCGAGTTCTTCACGAACTGCTGGAACTGTTCGACGACCACATAGGGAAGCGATGACTTAATGCCCGACAGTTTCGGATTTGAGACCAACAGGTGATCGGCGAGTGAGAGGACGTCGGCGTAAACGTTGGCCGACTCTGTCATCCATTGCCGCAATTGGATCAGATGTGAGCCGTCCTGAAGGGCCGCCAACTGCTGAAGTTGTCGCCCGAACGGCGCCACCGATTCGGCCATTAATGTGTGTCCACTCGAGTCGCGTCCAAATGTCTTGAGATTTGTTTTTTGTTTTGTTTTTTCAGTCGTTTTCGCATCGATTTCGAGGTTTTGGTGCAATTTTTAGTGATAATTGGGACCATTCAAGCATTACGTGACGATTTTATTCCTATTTAAGAACCCCATGAGTGGGGGTTTAGGTTAAACGCAAGTAATTATAACACAATTTCGATCACAATTCCGCTCAACAAATTGTAACGTTTGTTACGAATGAATCCAATGATAAGACCACAGGAGTACAAACTATGCAAATATTTTGTTCGTGTTTTGCATTCGATTGCGTGGACTGTAATCAACAAAAAACGTGACGCAAACGTATGCACAGCGCGTGCGCGACAGTCACTACACATTTCAAAATACGCTTCAAAAACAACAAACGGTTTTCAAAAACGCAACACATCTTCGGTCAGCGAAGACTTGATCCGTGTCTTTGAACCACTCGTTTTGGCCGCACATTCAAAATGAATTCAATTCACAGATATATCAGTCATGTGTTCACCGATGAGAGCGAAGAACAACGCATGGAAGTGGACAACGACTACACCGACCGCTATTTGAGCCAATTCTCGTCCATTGATCGCCAGACCATTGATGTGATGGTCGATAACGGCTATCAGGACAGGGATTCGCTGCTCGCCTTTGACCTCAAGGAGGATCTGCCGCTTCTGCCGGACCTGAATATGGCTCAGAAATCGCTGCTCCGGAAGGCGTTGAAACACTTACACGACAGCCAAGAGTTTGAGGTCCGAGTGGCCGACGTTAAGGGCGAAGACGAGCCGACACTGAGTCCTGTGGTGTCGCCGACGACGGCTGCGGCCAACAGTCAAAGCAAACGCAAACGCGAGTCCATTGTTAACCGTTCGTCGCCTCCGAAGAGGTCTCGTGTGTCGGCCGACACGTCGCCACCCTTTGGCTATGAAGTAGACGACGGT